GGCCAGCAGGCAGACCCGGAGCCGGAGCCTGGACCGGGAAGAAGAGAGGACCAGGACGCACTCCGCATGTGCACCGTTGGCCGAGAGATAAACTGCTTGTAATTCCGTCAGCGGGGTCCAACAATTTAAATGAATTGCTGCAAGTGTGCGAGTGCCAGGTGCCCCAGGTGCGTTGCTCGGTGCCACAGCGCCACAGCGGGGCTGCACGGCGGGCCGACGCCTGATGGTGCGGGGCGGCGAGGCGGCGGGGCGGCGGGCATGTAGGAGGCGGCATCCTCTTTCGCTCTCCGGGGACGAGGGGCGGGCCGTGCGCGCCGTGCGCGAGGCTCACCTTCGCCTTCGCCGTGATAAATCTTGGCCGCTCCCCTGCGGCAAGCAGCAAGCGGCAAGCAGCACCCCGACAGCAGCGATTCCACTTCCTGGCCGGGGCCGGCGAGAGCAGCGCGGTGGAGGCCCGCAGAATGGAGGCCTGCTCTCGGCCCTCGTCGTCGGGCACGGGGTGGTCGGGCTCCGTGGCGGTGCTGCTGGCGTAGCTGACCCGGGTGGCTGGGGCGCCACGGCAGATCCGCGCCAAGCCAAACAAGAGCGTAATCAGGCCAAAAAGGCCGCGCCGTGCGCCAGCCAATCACGGAGCGGCCTGGCGGCGACCTGCGCGCTGAGTCCGCCCCTCTGTCTCTCTCGCACTCATGCGGCGCCCCGAGGGGTGCGACGGAGAGCGACGACACGGCACTGATCGGAATCAGCCTGCCCGCAGCGCAGCGCGCCATCTGACCGCATTTATTGGACGCGTCTCTGCTTTCAATTAAGCCGCGAGCTCTCTGCCGCCCCGACCCACCCCGACCCACCCCGCCCCACCGCGGCGCCGCTCTCCCCTCGGGAGGGACAAAGAGTCTCTCCTCTCGCCGCCCCTCCTGTCCCTGTCAACCGCTCGCCGAGGCCACGCCGAGGCCACGCCCTACCTCAAACTGGCAGCCAATGCTCTCCCCTTCCGGGGCCCGCAGGCTTGTTCGCTCTGTCTCTCTCACTCCTGCACGGGGCGCCCCGAGAGAGAGAGAGAGAGAGAGAGAGAGAGAGAGAGAGAGAGAGAGAGAGAGAGAGAGAGAGAGAGAGAGAGAGAGAGAGAGAGAGAGAGAGAGAGAGAGCGACGGCCGCTTCGTGCCGTTTCTGTTTTTCTTCCGCTGCTTCCCGTGGGGCCCTGCGGGTGCCTGCGGGGCCTCGCCAGCCTCGGCCTCGGCCGGCGCCGCCTCGCTCCCCGCCGACAAGATGCACCCGATTTTGGACCAGCGCGTCCTCGCCGCGCCACGTTCTCCTCCAACTTGTTCGTCGTCGTGGTGCTCGTGGTGCGCTGCCCTCCCTGATTCACGCCCCGACGACGCCCCGACGACGCCCCGACGACGCCCCGACGACGGTCCGGACTGCGCGTTGCTGCGTTGCGGCGTTGCGCGTTCGTTTCAACAAGTTGCGGCCGCAACAGCAGCCAGCAGCGCGAAAGGGCAAAAGGACAAAAATAAAAAAGCGACCGAAAAGGGAAAAGGGCCTCGAAGGAGCGAGGCGGCAGACGAGGGGCGCAGGCTGGCGCAGGTCGAGGGGCCCCGTGAGGGGTGAGTGAGGGGCGCCGCAAAGGACCCCGCTCCCTGCCTCTCTCGCACCAGGACGGGGCGCCCCGCGAGTGCGAGAGAGACAGAGCGACGAAGACCGAGCGCCGCGCGTGGAAATTGGCCTCGTCCTCGTTGACTCGGCTGCTCGCTTCCCTTCGCTTCCGGGCTTCATCGTCGCGCTGCTTGATTCGGCCGCGTGCGGGGCGCGGGGCGGGTACACTGCCGTCGCTCTGTCTCTCTCGCACTTATGGGCGCGCCCTGAAGGCGCGGGAGAGACAGCGACGGAAAGGCGGAATCAGTCCACTGCTCGGACTTCGGACGCACCCCTACCGGCCGGCCCCAGATAAGGCACGCCTGCACTTGGCGAGGCTGGGCGAGGCTGGGCGAGGCTGGGCGAGGCTGGGCGAGGCTGCGGCGGGCACGCAGTCTCTGCCCTGCGGTTTCCAGAGAGGAGGCCGAGCAGCTAGCGGCGAAGCAGCAGCGCCGTGTGTGTGCGGGACTCGGTAAATTGTCCGCCGCATTCCATCGCCAGCATTTGTCAGACGTCGCCATGACTACGCTGAGCGTGTGTGAGTGAGGGAGTGTGAGTGTCGTGCGGGTGCCTGATGCTAGGCCGTCCCTCCGCGCTGCGCAGCAGCTGGACCGCAGGCATGGACACCTCGGCTGCCTGCCTCCCACACCACAATTCCGACCAGGGGACATATTTTGTGATCCACGAGACATGACTTCGGCGAGGTGGCTGCTGCCGCTGCTGCCGCCCTGGAATGCCTCGGGATTCCGCGGTTGTGCTGTTCCGTCGAGCAGGGCTGCGTCCGGGACTGCCTACTGCCCAGGCGCCTTGCCTCCTGAGGCTCCGAATCCGGGACGCAGCCCTTCAACTTCGAGTGCCTCGTGGCGTGCATTCGAAATCATGTCTCTCAGAATTCCACACTTCATGGAAATAAACTTTCCTCAAAAGTCCCTGGGATTGAGTGAAACTTCCACAATGGTCGGGACCACCGAGTCAAACGCGCACCTGCCGCCGAAACTGGCGTCGCCGTCAACGCGGTCGATCGGCTCACAATTTACGACCACAAAAGGCGAGGCACGACTGCTTAGGCAGGTCCATCTAACTGCCGTCCGGACGGTATTCAAATTTCCGGCTGCCGGATGAAGAGAAAAGAGACAGAGAGAGAAAGAGACGGGGACCGCGAGGGACAGCGAGGCGGCCAGGATTTCGGGGGTGCCGAGGGAAGCCAACAAGTTCATTCTTTCCAGCGCGGACGGCGGCACGGCGGAGTGGACGGAGCGAGGCGCCAACGAGTGCAAAGTGTCTGGGCCTGGGCCTGTGGGCGAAATTAAATTGCTGCCAAGGAAATAGGAAAGGCCGTGAGCGAACAGGGAACAGGGGGCGACGTTCGCTGCGGCCGAGGCGGCCATAGGGCCCCGCACCACCGCAGTGGGTCCTTCCCCCACCCCCTCTCCGCTCCCACACGCGAAAATCACGCCGCCGACTCTAACACACTGCGCCATTATTTTGCGGGCCTTGCGCAAAATTCAGCCGCAATGAAAAGGTTGACTAGAGGAAGGAAAAAGAAAAGGGAAAAGAAGGAGGGGGTGGGGGGCGTTCGGCCGCCAAGCCGAGCAACAACTTTTCATTTGCGGCTTTCGCCTAAAAGGCTCGCGGCCCAAACCGTCGCTAATGAACCTTCGCCTCGTGAGGGCAGCGCGGCGGCAACCCCTGCAGCCCCCGCGGCCCCCGCAGCCCCACGGACAAGGGCCGCGCAGGCCGAGGGTGGCTGCGGGGTGGCTGCGGGCAGGGGAATGGCCTGTGGCGCTTACGCAACCGCCAAACAGACTTCTATGGCGTCTGTGTATCGGTCTACTATCTACGAAACGAGCCAGCCAGTGAGTCAGAAGCCAGCCAGGCAACCATTCGACCAGCACGCCAAACGGCACCACTGCGGCCTGGACGTCCCGTGAACTAATCTCGCGCGCCGACACTGCTGTGGGGGAGAAATGCAGAGGGAGAGAGGGAGAGAGATAGAAACAGGGAGACAGACAGAGAGAGAGAGAGAGAGAGAGAGAGAGAGAGAGAGAGAGAGAGAGAGAAAAGGAGAGAGAGAAGAGAGGAGAGAGAGAGAGAGAGAGAGAGAGAGAGAGAGAGAGAGAGAGAGAGAGAGAGAGAGAGAAGAGTGAAGGGGGAGGGCGGCACCATCGGCATCTAGGACACGCCGTGCTGTCGGGCTTCAAGCACCCCGTCGGGGGGCGCGTTGTTCGGAGCGCTTCCCGCGTGGTGGTGGTGGACCGCCACACCCTCGTCCTCGCGCTGCTCGCGCTGCTCGCGACGACGCACACCAACCACCACGACGTACGGCGTGTTGGTTAAAACTTTTGGCCGCCGCATCGAGGTGCGCGCACGCTCCACACACTCCTTTGCGAATCAACTCGAGCGCGCCGGCGGCTCCCCTCCCCCCCTCCCGTCCGCCGTGTGCGCCCTCGATGCTGAAAGGGGCAAAACTTTGTCCCCCACGGCGGCGGCGCGACCGCCGGCCGACTCCGTGTGGTGGTGGTGTGCATGCAGGCCCAGGAATGCAGGCCCCGCGCCTTGTTTAATTCATTTCATTATTTTCGGCCCGGCCCGGCCCGCCCCGCCAAGCGCAGTTCCGCTTTTGCATCGGGGAACCGCCGCCACATCTCTTCTTATTTGCCGGCCGCGGACGGAAAAACAAGGGACAGCCTATACACTTCATCTCCTCCTCGGCCCGGCCCGCGGAAGGGATCGTAAAGGGGAAATTCCGCTAGAGGTAAATCACTCGCTAATTTTGGGTGCAGAGTACATAAATGTCTATTTTTCGAATACGAAAAATGCTTCCTTTCGAGGGTGGCGGTCCGTGGATCGTCTTCCCGCTCCAGAGAGGCAAGTCCACGGCAGGTGGGGCTGGGGCCGCACAGCGCTGCCACGGCGCAGAACGGTGCGGCCCCGGACGGAATGCGCCAAGTATGCTCCATTTCCGCAGTCAACTTTTCCCGGGCGAATCGTTATTTCGCGGCGAGGATGGAGCCAGCGAGCCAGCGAGCCAACCAGCCAGCCAGCCAGCCAGCCAGCCAGCCAGCAAGCCAGCCAGACGGGGGAGGGGGGGGGGAGGGGCGCGATAAGCGGTTTAGCTGCTGTTGAGGGAGCACTTTTTTCCTTCCGCCTCATTCTTGGCCGCTTTCTTTCATTCTTTCGGAACTGGATGCCGACGATGCCTCGGCCCCGGCCCGGACCTCCAGATCCCCGGCCGCGAGACGATGGACGCCCCCAGTCGCCTCTCCAGCCACCGCTCCAGACGCTGCAGACGCCCGCGCGGCAGGCAGCACGCCGCACCGCGCCGCTCGACGGGCCGGCCAACTTGTGTTCCCTTCCTCTCAGGCGCTTACCTGCTGCGTGGCCCACACGGTGGCTTGTGGTGGACGGACCTGCCGAACAAAAACAGAGAATTAGCAAAGTGGCGGCTGCATTATTTCATTTTAATTTTTCATCGCGCTTCCTTCCCGCTCTGCGCCTTGCCGAGCGCTGCGGATCTAGAGACGCTCGCAGAGGGGGCTTTCCGCACGCGACGGCTGTTCTGACAGTTCTTCTGGTGGAGGGGGAGGCGGGCGGCGGCCACTCCCGGCACTTGTCTTCCTCCCAGACGCCCCTCCCGCGGACGCACCGACGCACTCCACTGCGGGGTCCGTTTTTGTTTTCGGCGTGTGCCACTCAGCCCGAGTCTGCCCGAGGCCGCCTCGGGGCGGGCCGAGCGGGACGCCCCCCCCCCCTTTTCCCCGGCGAGGCAAACTCTGCAACTCGCCAACTCCCGAACGCACTAATTCAATGATTCGATTACGCGGAAACAAAATAAGCGCCGAGCGCACGGGGCGCGGCGCGTCGCCGAGTGGATGCGGATTCCTGGCCTGATAAAAAGCTCTCGGCGAGATTAACGGCGAGATTTATTTTCGTTTGCATAGAGCCGGGGCGGGGCGGGGCGGGGCGGGGGGCGCTCACTGACGACCGATTCCCACTTTGCGCCCCGCCCTCCTCGAGGCGATGCTAGTCCCCGTCAAGCTGCACGGCTGCTGATTCGTGTCGTCTCTCTCGCACTCGTAGGGCGCCGCGTAGGGATGCGCGCGCGACAGAGACAGCGACGGAGTGCGGGACGAAGTGAGCCTGCAGGCTGTGTACTGCACTGACTGCCCGGCCGGCCGGCCAGCGCCCCGCGCCTAAAAGCCCCTCGCCCGAAATAGCCGCTGCGCTGCATGTTCCGATGCACAATGGCGAGAGGGAAGGGGGGGGGGGGAGGGGACGTCGGGGAGGTGCGGGGCTCCACCAGGCTCCACGCCGCACGCTTCATCATCTCCAGCAGGCACCGCCAGGGCACCGCCAGGCAGCCCCGAAACTTGGCGCCCTTGCGGTGTGAGTCAGCGAGTCCCGGGCCGCGGGCCGGAAGGCCGGAAGTAGTGGCGGAAAGCGGAAACGGCCCGGACACTTGTTGACACTGGCACGGCGAGACGGCCTGCGCGGCCCTAGACGCACGCAGCGCGGCCGCAGACCGCACCGCGCAGCGCCGCGGCAGGTGCGCCAACTACTAGTTCCAGCGACTCCTCGCCGCGGCGCGCCGGGCCGCCTCGGGGCTTTTCGCTTCCATCCCCGCGACGCCCCGCGATGATGGCGGCCAGGGCTCAGGGCCCTGCGGCGGCGGCGGGGAGACGGGGCGGGGGAGGCGCGCCGAAACTTTCTCCCTTTCTTTTTTTCCGCCCTTATTTCGGCGTCCCGTTTTGAACCGTATATTCCTGCAGCGGGCAGGGCTTTGAAACTTTGAAGCGGCCGAGCGGCGACAACAACCAAAGTCCGCGGGCAGGGTGGCTCCCTCGTCCTCCCCCTCCCCTCCCCCCGCCGCCCTCAGGAATAGAGCGCCAATAAACGCTGACCTGCCCGGAGCGGCGCGTGTTTGACTGGCTGACGAACATCCGGTCGGCCGAGCCGGGGGTAGGAAATGGGGCGACCCTTGGTCAGCACGCCCTGCCACGCCATGCCCTGCCGCGCCCTGCAGCGGCCGCAGCACGCAATGGACACGACGCAGTCGCGACGGAAACTAGTTTACGAATTGGGGAACTACGCAGCGACACCCGAAGGATGGTCAAATAGAAGTTACGGGGTGGCGTCGGTGAGAAATCATCCTCGCCATTTTTATTCCGAAAAAGTGTACAGCAAAACCACACGAGTTGTTTACGTGAAGCGTGCGGGTGAATCACCCTCCTCACTTGCGGCGTCCCTCTTCCGACCTCCTGCGATCGACTCTTTGAATCAAGTCGCTGCACTGCCGCCGAGAAACCAAACACACACACACATGGCCGTCTTGGGCGCGATGACCGCGGACAGTCCGCCGCATCACGACAAGCAAAACACAAACAGAAGGAACGATAAGGCGCAGAAGGACGGGGCGAGGCGAACAGGCAAGCCAGGCAAGGCAGGCAACGCCACAGGGAGGGACCGAGCGGAGGGTGGGGTGGGGGAAGGAATATTGATCCGCTCAACCCTCCCGACAGAATCGAATTCTCTCGCTCCTTCTCTCTCTCTCGCTCGCTCTCGGCATTTCCTTCCCTATCTCTTTCTCTCTCTCTCTGTCTGCGTTCGCCATCAACATCATCATCCTCTGCTTTCTTTCCCCCGTCCAGCCGCCTCCTCCATACGGTCTCTCACGCTCTCTGTCTCTCTCTCCTCCCAATCATTCCCTACCCTTGAGGTGTTTCGGTGCGGCTTCTGGTATGGAGTTGCCTCCCTGCCCCGTCCGGCCCTCCTCGGGCGGTGCCTCCGCTCTTCAAGTTTCTCTTCCCAAGCAAACCGCCAAAAAGGGGGAGTAGCGGAACCTGAGAGCGAGGAGAGAAGGAAGCCGGATGAAGGCGGTGAAAAAGCGGGTACCTCCCGGCGATTGTCGCACACGGCACACGGCCCGGGCGAAGCACGCATGTACAGTCGCCCAAAAGTGCCCATTCCTCGGCTCGAAATTGGCGCGCGAACGACAACTATCGGGCCACGCCGCCGCCACCGCAATCGAACGCCGCGCGCTCCGTCCTCTCTGCTCGAAACCGAGCGAGTCAGAGCTTGCCGGCGGCCGGCGGGGCGGCGGCCGGCGCAGCGCCAGGCGACGGCGACGACGCGACGGCAACGGACGTTTGTTTATGTTTGAAACAGTGTCCCGTGTGTGAGTTTGGGAGTGTGTCGTGACGAAATAGCTGCGCGGTGCTCTGATGCGCTTGGAGCTAGTACATGGTCACTTTGAATCGATTTGTAGTCAGCAGGTGAGTGAAACTCTGACGCTGACCGAAACATAACCTCTAACCGCACCTACACGGAGCGCCGGCCAGCGCCAATGTGAGCAGTTTCTTGATTCATACTTTTAAACCGTGAAAGTTAGAGGAGCGCAGTATTGGCCGATTATTGTTTAATCCGAGATCTACAATACCCCCTAATACGGTTTTGCGCTGACCAACATCGTGAGTAGCGGCAGCTGAGACAGCCGAGCGGGTCGTCCGAAGGGCTTGTTTTGATTTGTGCGGCGACGTGGTTCCGGGCGACTCTTCAAAACCGAATCGCACGACTCGGAATTCGGGATTTTTGTCTACCGTGCGCCCCTTCTAGCCTCGCGGCGGGGCGCGGCGTGCGAGGGAGGCTCCGCGCCCCATCGGCAGTTCGATCCTAATGGCCCACGTGTAGTGCGGGCGCGCGGCACGGCGACGCCCCGGCTGCTTTTGTCGGCTATTCACACGGGGCTGTGATTGCCCCCCCTTGCAGTGCGTGGGCTATTATTGCCCCTCGGACCGCGACTTGGCACGGCGACGCGGGGCGCGCGGGGCGGTGCGGGGCCTCGCGGTAGGCGCGGGCCCGAATTATATGCGTGTTGTCAGTTTGGTAGTGGCGTGGCGGGGCGGTGGCGCCGTGCCGGCTGCAGTGGGAGGGAGTGCGTCTCAAGTGGTGCCGCCACCACGCGGTGCATTTACAGCGGGCACGCGCCACCACACCGCGTGCACACTGACAAAAATAAAGGGGAGCGTTTTGGTTCCATTTATTTTCGCGTGACCCCTCCTGCTCTCGCCGGCCGCATGGCGGCGCACTCCCGCGCGATTCCCCCCCCCCCCACTCCCCCTGCCACGCCGAACCCCGAAAGCCCCCATTCCGGCCCGCAGCGTTTAGTGCCCGAACTGATTGATCCCATAACACTGTCAGTTCGCCAAGTTATTGATAGATTGATAGTGGGGGAAAGGGGGGGGGGGCGTGGATACCGGCCAAGCCGCGCCGAGCCAATGCCCTCACGCCCGGCCCCAAAAAGGAGCGACTGACGGGCATGGATTTTTACTGGAGAGAAACAATAAGTGAAGGGTAGAAGGGTTGTGTGTGGGGGCGGGACGGGGCCGGGGCGGGGGCGGGGCGGCGCCTACAGTGTACAATGCCCTGGCGGCAGTGATCCCTTTCAGCTTCACGTGTCCCTGCCATATTTCCCTCCACCGCTACATGGGTGCGTGTTTCCTGAGTGCAGGTACACGGCGTGTGTGTGTGTGCGCGCGGCATTGTGTTTCCAAGGAATATGTATGCGCGCGTGTGTGTGACGCGAGCCCTTTAAAATTTCAGAGTGGGCTGGGTGGGGGTGGCACCTGGCACACAGACAGCGGCATGGCGTGGCTGTGCCGCTCCCGCGTTTCGCAAACCGCCAATGGCTCCGACGACTTGCATTTTCTCGCTTCTCGTCGAAGCCAGTCCAGCCCGAGTAAGAGCGTCACTCCGGGGCTCTGTTTACCCCGAGCGGCTCGGCTCGGCTCGGCCGGGGGTGTCGCCGTGATCCCCAGGCGTGGCGGGGGGCGCCGTGGCGCGACGATAGATACAAAGGGGTGCCTCGTCCGCCCAGTCCGCCCCGCCCGCCCCGCGGGGGGCGTCGGCCGGCGGGGCGGGCTGCAGCTTAGCGGACCAGCTTACGCCCTAATGTAGCAATCTGTCCGCGGACAGGCCGCGCCGTGCCGCGCGCGCCGTGCCACCGAGGGGCGGAAGGAAGGCGCCCTGTCCGTCAGCCTGGACCCGGGCCGATAAGCATGGCGGGGCCGGCCGTTGTTGCAATTTAGCAGCCGGCCCGGCAGACGCCGGCAGACGCCGGCAGAGCAGACGCTGCTGCAATTCATGAAGCGCAATAAGGAGCCAAGTAGTTTGGCGGCGATAGCACACACAATGCCGTCCCGCTTGTTATAGCGATTGCGATTGCCATCGCAGATTCCAGTGCAGCCTTAGCAAGCAGCGCGCTAGCTCGCCGCGCTTCCTGCATGGAGAAGCGAATGGCCACTGCGCCTGGAGGAAGCGCCCCGCCCCGCCCCGCCGCAGTTTGCTGCTCATTTCGAGGGCCGCGCCAACAGAAAACAAGAGAAAAAGGGGAGCATCGCGGCTGCGTCCGGAACAGCCACCCTTAGAGAATGGACCCGGTGCGGGAGAGAGGGAAGAGTTCTCGACCCGGGGGAAAATGGGCTGCAGGGCGCACAGGGCGGACCCAGGGCCAAACCAAGTCCAGGGCTGACCTTGGCCGCCGTCAGCCTCGGCCCCGGTGCCTCTGCAGGGCCTGCAGGTGTGGTGACGTCACGTGACGAGCACACACTTGCCACCGCCTGATGAATATTTGAGCCCCGCCGCGCCCTGCAGGTCGAGAGAGACACCAAGGTCACCGAGGTGCTGGGCCTGCCGGGCCTGCCGGGCCGCCGAGGTAGGGTGGGGATTTTTAAGGGCACGTGCAGCGTGCTGGCCTCGCCGTCTCTGCCGGGGCAGCGCCAAGGCAGGCCAAACAGAGTGCGACAAGTCATCTCGGGACGCCAGGGCGAGGCTCAGGGCGAGGCTCAGGGCGAGGCTCAGGGCGAGGCTCAGGGCGGTTCCGGGTGGCCAACACGGGGCGTGAGTCGGCGGCGGCTCAGCCGCTGGACGGTCAGTCCCGTCAGTCCCTCCGCTCGGTTGGCTCGAGTTGGCCCGGTAGCATCGCCGGGCTGCACCCTCAAATCATCGCACCCTGGCCCTGGCCCCACCCTGCGATGCGGGCAAGTTGATTGATTTCCAGGTGCACCATCGACGGGGTTCACGTAGCCGAGCGTAAACATTGATTGTGATCGTTTTCCCGAGACACGCGGTCCGCGCAGTCGTCCATCAGCGTAATTATTCAAAATAGCCAGTGTAGGCACACCTCGGATACGTAATTGAAAAGCGGCGGCCAAGAGCCTTGCAGCACGCCTCGCTCCTTTCTCCGCACCCCACTGCAGCGGGTTGCCACCCGTCCGAGGCCGCCGCCATCGCGTGCCACAGTGGTGCGACACCTCGTCACGGCCGTGGCGCCGCCGGCACGCGTGACGGCCCGACGAGCACGCCCGTGTCCATCGGGCCCATCTCGGCGTGCACGCGTCCTCGCCGTCCCCGCCATCGGCACGAGCCATCTCCCCAGTTCCATTCCATTCCATTCCCGGACTCTGGCCCGGACGTCCCGGACCGGTGCGCGCCGCTCTCGTGGAGCCCGTCGAGCAGCTCGTGGTTCTCCCCCATTTCCTTATCTTCTCCTCGCCGGATCTCCTCCAACCTCGTCTCCTGCGCCCTCGCCGCCCTCTCTCCACCCTCCTCGCCGCCCGCACGGCCCGCACGGCCCGCACCCACCAAGCGACCTTCGCCACCCACCGCCACCCACGCAACCCCTCGGGCGGGCGGGGCGGACGGCGCCACCCCTAGGGTGAGTCATACCGGTGTGTTACAGTGTGCGGTGCGTGGCTGGCTGGCACCCGCCGGCGCTGCACTTCGGCCGAGACCGATTCCATCGTCGGCCAACCCAAGTGGAGTCCCTCCAGTGTGGGAGAAGTGGGTGCAGGACCATAAGTTTGAGGTGTTTAGGCCAAATAGCAGCTGCTGGCGGGATGCATGTACTATTCATTCCTCTTCATTTCGTTGGATTCGAAGACTGAACCCGCGCCCGCGGCACGGCGACGCCCTGGCACGGCGACGCCCTGGCACGGCCACCCGACGGCTCGTCCTAGTGGCCGCCGCGGAGATGTTCCTCAATCATGAGCTTGTTGTGGAGCGCGCGGCAGCAGCAGCAGCCATTACTCAATCAAGGCCATCACCGCCTCGACCAGGCCGCGCCGAGGCGAGGAAACCGCATGGCGGCGGGGCGACCAGAGCCCTCACCGAGGCCCTCACCGAGGCCCTCACCGAGGCCCTCACCCAGGACTTGCCGCAGGTCGCGCCGGGTGCACTGCAAGCCGCTACAGTGTAGCATCAGTCCGTCGATCCAATCATGCGCCCTTCTTTCTCGCTCGTCCCAGCGTCCCAGCCCGCCCGGATCATCTTATCGGTTCAATGAAAGTTCCCTCGTGGCGTCGCCATGGTGCGGGCCGGCGGGACCGTTGACCTCTCCGGGCGCTGCACGCTGCTCTGCCCTGCACGCTGTACCTGTGGCGTCGTGCCGCGTCGTGCCGCGTCGTGCCTCCTCGCGGCGACGCGGTGTACTTCCGATCACGAGCGCGGCGCCGCCCCTCCGCGCCCCGCCCGCGACACACTGCTGTTTGGCTATTCGCAGAGCGCCGCGCGCTGACCGCCTTCTAAGGCCTCCGCGTCCACATCCGCCTGTCCGGGTCCACGCCTTGTCCGCGCCGTGTCCGCCGAGTCGGAAGTGGCTACCATTCGTATGGCGGCGACATCGCCCCGGACGCGGCGCGCCCCTCCCGGTCCCGGACCGCCGGGCCCTCGGTCGAGCCGCAGCCGTAATCCAGAGCCTAAGCCGCTACCGGGCTGCGGCAGCGCGCCGGCGGCGTTGTGGGGCGTAGCGGCACGGCGACGGGCATGCGACACACAAAGGTACACGGGGCGGGGATGGGGACGGGCTGCACGTTAATATGCATGGCTTACTGCCCCGAAACCTTCCGAGACGCATTTGCATTCCAGTCAGTGGTCCTCGCCCTCCGCGCCATCCTCGCCGTCCTCGCCTTGACGCGCGAGCGAATTTGGCGGCCCCGCGCGATACGAGCGCCGAGGTACCCCTTTCATACCAAGTGCCACCCCCTCCCCCTCCGCCGCCGCTGCGAACTCTCCCGCTTGGATGACTACTGTGAGCGGGGCGCACGGAACCCTCGCGAACGGGAAGGCGGTTCTCGACGGCGGCGGCTGGTCCGATACGAGGGGTGCCCTGTCTGGCGGCCCCCGCGAGGGGCAGCTGGGGGCAGCCCAGATGGTGCCGGGACGGGGGAAGGGGGAGAGGGGGCACCGCCCTGCCAGGCCTTGCCAGGCCCTGCCGAGCAACAACACATTTCGCCACCAAACTTTGCGAATACAAATCAAGTGCAAGGGGATCCACCCCACTGCTTGGGGCTTGAGGCGCTTGGCTTGCGGTTTGCTGGTCGGGTGGTCGGCCGACGACGGGGGCGGTTCGGTTCGGCCGGGCAGGGCTCGGCCTGGCTCGGCCTGCAGAAAGTGCACTGTCGCCGTGCGTGCACGCCGCCCCACCGTGCGCCCCGCGCATCCCGCGCCCGGCAGAGGGGGGCGTCAGCCCTGGCCTCCGAGAACATGAGGGGGGTGACGAGGTGGGTGGCGAGGCGAGGCGGTCCCCACCTGCGCAACGTTCCGCGAGGGGACGGGGTCCCGGACCGAACATCTGGGGGGCGCCGTCGTCTTGCCCTGGCCGTCGTCGTCGACCTGGCCGCAGCCATCGTCACCGTGGCCGCGGTGCGCAGCGCGGTTGTCGCAGCGTCGCAGCACGGCGTCGTCAAACTCACCTCACGACGCGGCGGTCATCTCATGTTCACCTTGCACAGTCACTCGTTCACTCTTCACTCTCACACACACTGAGTCACTTTAATCCTTTGTGCCGTCGTCGGGGCGTGGGTCGCGTCGGTCGCGGAAGTCCGCGCTTGGCCCGCGGCCCGCGTCGCGGAGAGGGGTCGCGTGGTGTGGCGCCGCGCACAGGGTACGCTCAGCGCCGCGCCGCAGCCAGTCGGAGGCACTACTAACTGCATCGAGCGAACCGCGCGGCCAGGCGCGGCCAGGCGCGGCGCAAGCCAGCGGGGAGGGGTGGGGGAAGGGTGGGGGGCGTCGCGGCGCGGTACGGCACACCGCGGCAAGGAGGCGCGGCGCGGGGTGCGGGACGAGGACGCAGCGAGCCTCCCCTGGCGGCGTGCGACAGAAACAGACGGCGGCAGGGAGGAGGGGTGGGGTGGGGTGGTCGACGCATGCTCGCTACGCGCCTGCCCAGCCCGCCCTGCCCCCACGGCCCGCGGCCCTCCGCGCGCTTGGTGCCGTTCCCAGTTCCCACCCCAAACAGCCAGCCTCCCTTCTCCCGGTCCGCCCGTCCGTCGCCGCGTCCGTCGCGCTCCTTGAACAATCTCTCGCCGTCGGCCTGTCTGACCGTCCGCGCCTGGCTGTCCGCCTGCCTGCTTGTCTACGCACCCCTTTCCCCTCGGCATTTACAATCCGTGTGCGCGTTGGACGTCCGCGACCTTGTAACATCCCTTGTTCCACTCACCCCGACTCACCCCCACCGCCGTGCTCGCGGTGCTGCGCGGTGCGGTGCCGCCGCCGCTCGTCGCAAGCACGGCATCGCTTATTGTTTCATCACCTCACCCCGTGTAAACACGAGTGGCTGGGGCGGCCGCAGCGAAGGGTTTGCTGCAAGACGACGCCTCCAGGACGCCTCCAGGACGCTGCGAGGACGCCGCCAGGACGCCGCCAGGACGCCGCCAGGACGCCGCCAGGACGCCGCCAGGACGCCGCCAGGACGCCGCCAGGACGCCGCCAGGACGCCGCCAGGACGCCGCCAGGACGCGCCAGGACGCCGCCAGGACGCCGCCAGGACGCGCAGGACGCCGCCAGGACGCCGCCAGGACGCCGCCAGGACGCCGCCAGGACGCCGCCAGGACGCCGCCAGGACGCCGCCAGGACGCCGCCAGGACGCCGCCAGGACGCCGCCAGGACGCCGCCAGGACGCCGCCAGGACGCCGCCAGTACGCCTCCAGTACGCCGCCAGGACGCCGCCAGGACGCCGCCAGGCAGCCCGAGGCCGAGTCATCACGGAAGGAAACAAGCTGAAAATTGCGAACTGCGTCAAATCAGCGGCACGGCGGGGCCATGGTGGGGCCGCGCCCGGCGGGGGGCTCTGGCGGGGTGCAGTCACTCCAGAACTCCGGCGTGTCCAACTTGTGCGCGCCGCGCTCCGCGCCACGCCAGGCAGGACCCAGACCCAGAACCTCGCCTCCTGAATACACTGGAAGGACCACGGCGGACCGGGCCGGTCCACCCCTCGCCGGCCCCTGCCTGGACAAGTTCCGGTTTCGGCAAAAGCCCTTCAGCGAGGACGCCCCAAGCCGCCCCGCCGCCGCCTTAGCCGCGCAGCCCCGGGGACTCGGAGCGGGAGGGGCGCCAGGCCGTCTGCCAGCGCCCCGCCCCGCCCCGCCCCGTGCCTTGGGCCCCACGTGGCCTGCCTCGGCTTGCCTCGGCCCGCCTCGGCCCGCCGCCACGTGACGCCGGGCGCAAGGCCGGGCGCGTGTGGCGGTGCGGCGCCGACTGCCGGGGAGCAGTCGCTCAGGGCCTCCACCTCCTCGCCTCCGCCACGGCCTGCGTCACGGCCTCCGCCACGGCCTCCTCCGAGTCCCGCAGGACCCTGCTGACATAACTCAGGCGCCCCCGCAGCGCAGCGCACCAACACACAGAGGTCTTATTGTAAATTTATAAATAAATAAATAAAATGAAAAATACGACGGGTGCGATAAACCTAGTTTTGTGAGCGTTCCAGGCAGGAATCAGGTGGTAAATAAAATGAAACTTGGCGAAACTTTGTCCCGTCCCTTTCCCCGTGCCGCAGCCACCTCTCCGCCGGTCTGCTGACGTTCGCGACGCGCGGCACGAGCTTATCGAAAGCAGTGTGTTTTGTGTGGGGCTTTGCCAGGCTTTGCGCGGGGAGGGGGGAGGGGGGGCTTTCATTCAAATGCATGAGCCAGCGGGGCAGCGGGGCGCAACAGACGGACTTGCCGCGCTGCATCATGCATGCCGCCAACCAGAAGACGGCCGCCGCCGGCTTGACGCGCACCTCCAAACGGCATTGCGGGCGGAGGCCGGGCAAGCCGACGTGGCGTCCGGACTTTTCGCGTGGCGCGTCGACTGATTTCTGGCCGAGTTTCTGGCGCTGCTGGCTCCTGTGCCTGCTGTGCTTCGCCGCACTATCTCTATCGCTTCGAATGCAACGCCGCACGAGTGCGAGAGAGACGGAGCGACGAACCACAGCAAGAGAGGTGCTTAGTGACGGTCCCTGAGCGAGTGACACTCAGATTCGATGCGGGCAGTGGACTGGAGGACTGGAGCTGCTGGTGGGGCCGGGCCGGGGGCCGGCCGCTATGATGAAGACAAACAGGCGACTTGATTGGGAAATTATAACCCCGCCTCCACTCCAACCCGCCCCACCCCGCCCTGCCGAGCGCGCCGGGCGCGCTTAGCGCGGGAGTGCGACACTCACAGTTTTGGGAAAATTATGCTCCTTTTTGCGCAGTGCGGCAAACGGGGCGAAATATCCTCAAACGACACACAAGTACCTCGGCAACGAGCACGTGCCGCACACACACAGGCACCCCCATCGAGTGGGTGGGGGCAAACGCGCTCCAATGCGTCCTTGATCGCGGGTCAACGCCCCCTGGCGGAGGGTCTGCTTACTAAACTACTCAGACAGTGGAGGGAAGGGGAGGGGCGACGGCGATGAGACCCGCGGCAGTGCCGGCATAGCACAACACCACCGACCTGAACCAATAATACCGCATTCCCCGAAAACTCGCCTCTTCGCTTGTGTGTGCTGTGTGAGTGTGTGTGTGCGTGTGTTTATTAATGCATGCGTGTGTGTGCGTTTGTGCGTTCGTGTCGGTGTGCTTATTTAGTAGCGCTAGTGAGTAATGGGGCCGGTCCCCACCCCTCTGAGTGGCCGGATAAAAAGTTGTGACACTGCAAACACGGCCTGGCCTGCTTGATCCGCGTGAATTGGCGCGCCAATCCGCCGACGCGCTTTCCCGCCGTTTTTCAATCTGCAGTCTCGCCGCGCCGCGCCGTGCGCGCCGTGCCGCTGTCAGCACCGTGCCCCGCCTTGCACGTTCCCAGCGATCCCCTTGGTTAAAAACAAAAAACACGAAAAACAGGGTCGGCAGCAATGGGCCGCGTTTAGTATTTTGTTGTATCGTCATCGTGTCGTCCGTTGCAGGAATCGATTTTCCCCGGGCGAGAGAGAGAGAGAGAGGGGCCGATACGGCTCCACACCAAAGTGACGGTGTGTATGGCGGCGCCGGCGGGAGGGGGATGAGGCCAGGGCGAGCAGGGAGGGCAGGGGGTAACTGGGGCGGGAAGTCGCCGATTACGGAAGCTTTGCTGTGCAGGCACGGCACGGCAGGAATGATGTGGGAAGGGTTCGGCTCACAAAAGCCGAGCCCCGCTTTTTATGTCTCTCTCGGGGACGAAACTCCACGCCGGGCAGGCACGTTGCACGCAGCGCGCGGCACGCAGCGCGCTGAGGCGGCGACAAATCTTGCCCAATCTAGGCGAGGGGCGGCGGGGCGAGACGGGGAGGGGAGGGGAGGGGAGGGGAGGGTCCACCTGCCGGGATGGGCACGCCGCCTCGCTTCGCGCGATGCTCGCGGGCCCGCGCGGCCTGCAGCGCGTGGCGTGCACACTGCACCGCCGACGCTGGGGCTGCTCTGCCGCCGAGTCCCCGAGTCCCGGTGACAGAACAACGCCACAACGACGTGCGCCCTGGGACAAGCCTGGGACAAGCCCTGGGACGGGGCACGTAAGCCCCGTGGTGCCCCGTGGCCGAGTTTGACGTCGGCGGGCAAGTTCTGACATCGCCCCGCCCTCCCCTTCCCCCTCCCGTTTCCAGCCCGTTACCCTCTTGGACCCCTCGCCCCTCGCGCAGAGACGCCGACGACGACGCCGCCGTGCCCGACAGCTCCGCGGGCAACACTGCTACACGGCCACCCCCTACACTATACAAACAGCCCCGCAAATAAGACGCATTTCCCGGCCTAATTCCTCCGCTCCTCATCGCGTAATCAGCGAAACGACGCCCTCGTCTGTGTGTGTGTGTCGCTGACACGGACATGCGTGCCGCCGCGTACCGCGACGACGACGCGGAGGAAGAGGCGGAGGGAGCGAGCGTCTTCAGATTGATGGTGCTGGAAATGATAAGGGGGTGTCGTGTTAGGCCCTAACAGGGGCGCGGCGCTGGCGCGCGCCGAAGGGACCGGTGTAGTGTGGCTGGCTGCTCGGGCGGCGCGGCGCTGCCGGGTACGTGTAATTGTTTGGCGACGCATTGTTTGCGCGAGGGGAGCTGCAGCGAGCCTAGGTGCGGGATATGGATGGCGATAGCACTAGACACACACACACACACACGCGCGTCGCGGGGAATGCCTTTCTCGCTGCACTCCACTGCTATTACTCCGCCATGCTGCGCGCTGCGCCGCGTCGCCGTGCGGCCCCGCTATTCATCCTGATTCCCACTCGACGGCAAGTTGACGTGAAAAATGACGGGGCATGCGCACACACACACACGAGCTTACAGTGGCTGGCACGTGCCCCTCATCGCGAGGGCAAGGCGGTGTCGTGCGCCACCTCCACTAAGGCTGCGACAGGTGAGAACGTTTTTATCTGTCGTTGTCTTGTCGTGTCCGCTTCTCTCTCCCACTCTCCCCTTTGACCGGCTGGGCAGTGCGGGCCGCACGGGGCCTCCGGGGCCCTCACCTCCCCCTCCTCTTTCACCCTCTTTCACTTTGGAGGGACCGCTCACGGACCCACGCCGGGCCGCCACTGCCGCCACTCGCCCTGCGAGCGAGAGAGAGAGACAGACAGACAGAGAGGCAACTTGGCGCTAGAGAGGGCCCTGTACGCTGTTTCAGAGCAGTGCTTGCGTTGCTCTGTTTCTCTCGCGCTTATAGGGAATGGCCCTGCGCATAACCCGCCCTGCCCCGCTCCACTCCGGCGGAAAGGCCTTCGCCACTGGAGCAGAGCGTCCCTTTTCGGCCCTCGCTGGCCCTGGCTGCCCTGCCGGCCGGCAGCCACCCTGCCCCGAGTGCCGCCGTGTCCGTAAAAGGCAGAGGAGAGGCGCGAGGCAACGGCGTGCTTCAGCTCCCGGACACCTCATTAGAGCCGGCTGCAGGGCCCGCAGAGCCTGCAGGGCTGGTCCACGGTCACCGTCTCTCTCGCAGTCGCGCGGCGTGCCGTCGGGGTGCGAGAGAGACAGCGGCAGAACCACGCCGGTGCTCATAGGTGACTGGCTGGCTGGCTGAGCTGCAATTATTCGGGCGGATAAAAAGGAGCGTCAGCGGTCTGCGGAAGGGAAAGAAAAGTATTGGTGTCTCGAGACGGCTTGGCGGCGGCGGCGGGGGAGGAGGGGGAGGGGGCATCGCCAGCCTGCTGATGTATTCCATGCACACTCCTCAGCAACTCAAGGCGGGCCGGGCCGGGGCGGGGCTGGTGGGGAACGGGGAAAGGAAAAGTACACACTCGTGTGCCGAGCGATTTCCGAACGCGGCTAAACGCCGCCCCGGGCCCCGGCCGCGCACCGTGGCGCACCGAGGGGTGGCGGGGTACACTGTACACTGGTACACACCGGGAGGGGTGTGTGGGGCGCGTTGGTCCCTGGCCGCTGCTTTACCGGGGGCGAAATTGCTGATGTATGGAGTCGACCGTGGCGGCTGGTGCGGGCTGGCCCGTCGGGGTGGTGCAGGGCGAGGTGGGGCTTCCGCCCGCGCCCCGCCGGTCCCTCTATTTGTAAATGCTGATGCGCGGTGTGCTGATTGCCAAGAAGGTCCCCGTCGTCGTCGCGGTGAAGGCCGCCTTGTCTGTCTCGTCGAAGCTAGAAGCAGGACTTGCGACAAGGAGTAAAATAACTAGTCCAGCACCACGGGTGCAATCGCGGTACGAAGACTCTCTCTCATTCCTTATCTCTGTACTTCCTGTTAAAATGTCAGTTTCATTCGCGTCGCTTGCTCGCTCCCTCCCGTTTGGGGTTTTTTTAAAATTGTTTTGCCCCCCCTAGGGCGCTTGGTCGCCAGGTTTGCGGGAAGCCGTTGCGGTCTCGTTACCCGCACCCCGGTTCTCTGGTTGCCGTATGCGGCTTTTGTTGGGGGCCCCCAAACTAATATGAAACAACGGGCGGCCCCTTTCCCCCCGAAAGGGCAGAGGGCAGCCAAGGGCAGCCAAGGGCCGCGGGAAGGCGGCGCCTTGTCGCCTCGCCGCCGCATCCTCCGGGCCCTCCAGCCTGGAGGCTCCAGGACGCCGCCCTCGGCCGCGCTCCGCCACTCCCCGCCACGCCCGCCAGGCTGCAGCCTTCGTTAGGCGGCGAGGCTGTTACCCTGGAGGGCTGGAGGGCTCTTGGCAGCTTTCATTAGCCTCCTCCAAGGGCTCCGGCCGCTCCGGGCCCGGCAGAGCACTGTGTCCTCGCTGCGCCCCTTTTTGGAATGCGTCTAACGTCTGCAGGCTGCAGGTTGGCCGCCATTCGGCCCTCCGTGCCACTCCTTGCCGCCAGGCTCCAGCGCTGCGCTGCTTGCTCCAGTCCGCGGCCCTCGTCTCGGCGCGCGCTGGAATTCTCCAGGCCAGAGGGGAGGGGAGGGGCGGGCCGGCCCGTTGCTATGACAACGCCGCCATTCATCAAGTAGTACCCCGCGGCTCCGGGCGCTCCAGCGGCTCCAGCCCGGTCCGGGCCAGAGCAATTCCCCGACCGACTTCGTACCCTTTTCCAGCTGCGAGAAATTAGAAGGTCCGTGGAAGGGGAAGGGTAAATATGGCCGCGCAAGGGCGGTAGCGCGGTGGCTGGCTGTCACTCGGTCTCTCTCGCACTCGCACGCGGAGTCGGGTGTGCGAGTGAGACGGCGCGATGTAAGCTCTGTTGAGTCTGCAGCTTCACACGGCCGGGCTGGGCGCTCCCAGGCGCTCCCTCCCCGTGCCTCGGCATGCCCCCGCATGCCCGACGCGGTTCATCGCGCATCCTGGGCCCACTCCGAACAAAACGCTCGGCCCTCTGAGGCGCCCCGCGAGTGCGAGAGAGAGAGAGAGCGCGGCGCGCTGGCTGGCCGCGAGCCGTCGGGGGATAATGCCGTGGCTAATGTGGGAATCATCGCTCACACGACGCGGGCCCCGCGCCTCGCCGCGCCTCGCTTGCAGTGTGGTGCCGCGCCTCGCCTGCTCCGGGTTATTGCTCGGCCAGAACCTCGCCCATCTCTCTCCATTTCTATCGACCACCCGAATACTACTTCTCGTTTCGGTCTGCACACGCTTACACTTTTGATTTAAGTCGCCGACTTTACCTAGCGGGGCCCTTCAGCCTCTTGTATAGAAATAATAAATAACCAATTCTGATTCCGCCCCCTCCCCCCACAAAAAAGGAGTCTGAAAAAGGTCTCCTTTTTTAAAAACACGCAGCAGAGCAAGCATAACGCGCGTATGTGTCCATAGAATATTTATTCCCGTCGTTTGAATTAATAACACAACAAAAATGTGCGACCACGCGCGCAGAAACGCTTTGTAACGGCGTTTTTATATCCACCGCCCTCTATCGCGCGCGCGCGTTTGTGTGTGTGCGTGTGTGTGTTTGATGGCAGAGGTGGGGGTTAATGTTTTTGCTGCTCCTCTCGTACGTCCTGTTTGCCGTTGGCTGCAGTGCGCAGTACGTGTGCGTTCGCTGGCCATGTATACGGCCACTCGGTTTCTTCGTGCGCGCGTGTGTGTGTGTGCGTGTTTGCGTGCGCGCGGCACGACGCGGCGTGGCCAACTGTTGGTAGCCCCGCTGGTCGTTGGTCCAGGTGGATGTGATGGAGGCCGTAAAGTAGAAAGTGGTGCCCGAAATTGACCGGGCCGACCGCGTCGCGCGCCCCGCCTCTCCCTCCCCCCGTGTTTTCTGGTGTTTTCGCGGGGCTGTTGGTGGAGGCGGCGGCGGCGGAGCTGGGTCTGGATGGGACGCTCGCCCCCGCGCCGCCCCCGCGCCGCCCCCACGCGTTTCCACGGCGACCGGGCGAAGCACTTTGCGGACGAGTCGCCCGGCCCGCGGCCAGCCCCTCTCTTCATTATTACGAAGTACGAAGCGAAGGACCGCACGGCTCGCCGCGGCTCGGCTCCCGCTCTGTGGGACCTGTGGCGGCTGACGGACTCTACCGACTCTACAACCGTACTGGACTGCACCAGCGCGAGTGACGCTTGACGCGCTTGGCGCGCTGAGAGCGTGATGGCGGCCCCCGACGCCCGCCTGGACTCCGACAACGCCACCATCATCGAGATCAAAGGGTGAGCACTGCGCCCAGTCTAGGGCCTGGGGGGAGGGGGCTCAGAGCCCGGCTCTGGGTGCACGCTCCGCGCGCAAGCTCCGCGCGGCACATCACGCCTCCCATGCCGATGAGACCGCCGTTCTTCACTCTTTGTGTTCCAGAGGATCGCTCGTCAGCTTCGCCCCGTCGGTTCCCTTCGCCGTCTCAGAGTAACTAGTCAGCAGTCGCTACGACTCGAAACGGGAGACAGTTTTCCAAGGATCGTCGCATATCCGTCCCAACACACGTGTTGCTCTTTCAGTGATTCAAGTGACGGCAATAAGGATCCCGATGAAGCCGAGACGGGACAGCGGCCAGACGGGTGAGTCGTGATGGAACGACCTGCCACGTCTGCTTGTACGGGTGCGGAGGTTGTTGGCCCGGTCTGTGCACACCCCGTTTCTCTCTGCAGGCCGACGGGGTTTGCCAAGCCGCGGCCCGTGTCCGGGGCCTCGCGAGTCTCCGTGCCCGGCGTGCCCTCGACGACGTCCATCATCAAGGCGTCCTCCCTGCGGCACCCGGACGCGGGCACCGCCCTCAAGGCCTCCAAGTGGGTAGCCGCGGCGGCGCCTCCCGCGTCCTGGTTCAAATGGTGAAGCTCGCTCTGGCCCCCAACAGGAGCAGGGTGACCATCGCCACCGTCGCCACCAGCCGGAGCGCGGTCCGCGAGACGAGGCAAGTCCTGTGCTGGGGCACTGCAGCCGCCGCGTGGCCCGACCTGGCCCGACCCCGCTGACGGCGTCCTCATGTTTGCAGGTCGACCGACAGCAGCATCGACAACGGGCCGACGAGGTAGACGTCGTGGCCGACGGCCTTGGTGGACTGCCCCGGCAGCAGCGACTCATGTCTGCGAGTGTGCACCGACAGGCGGCTGATCCAGCGGCAGCGCTCCATCTACTCGCTGACGGGGCAGTCGGAGGCCGAGGCGGACGGCACCGAGGCCGAGGGCGACGCGGCCGAGGGCGACGCGGCCGACGACGAGTCCGCCGTCGTCAGGGACCTGAACCTGAAGGAGGCTGCGGCGTTCGCCTTCAGAGGCCAGTGAGTGAGACGCGACCACACTGCAGCGAGGAGAGGGGCGACGCGAGGGACGCCCCTTGGGCGGTGCCGAACTTGAAGCACCGCGCCACTTCGAAGTGCATTAGCACCGCTTTGGCCTTCCCCGGCGGGTCCGAGTGACCGCGGGCGGGCGGCTGGCGGCGCCCTCTAAAGCGACAAGTTTGCAGCCTGGGCCTGGGCGTGGCGCCGCGCGAGCGCATCCCTGACGGACTGGCCAAGCTGCTCCGGGAGCTGCCGGACCCACGTGAGCTGGCGCCGCTCGTGCGCTCCGTCATCATCTCGGCGGACCGGCCGTCCAGGCACGTGATGCACTTCAAGTCCACCACCAAGGTGCAGCGCGTGGGGCTGCGGCCCGCCGTCCATGTCGCCAGGGCGGCCAGGGTGAGTGAGAGGCTGGCGCTGCGTTGCGCCGCGTCGCGCCGCGTCGGCCGGCCGGCCGGGAGCGCCTGCGTCAAGGGGGTAGGCAGCCCACCGTGCAGGTTCTGTTCTGTAACTTGGTAGAGGTGTTTTCATATCCACCCGGATTTAGTGGCGTTTCGATTGGAGGTGCCAGACGGGCCGGCTCACCCCAGGTTTGCTTTCGTCGGGCCTGTTACATATACATCGTTGACCGGCCACCAGGTGAGGATAGGTCGCCGCAAGCGGGAGGGCCAGGGCGGCATCATGTACCAGCCCACCTACAAGGAGGAGCCGAACGAAGTCCCCGACTGGCGGAGGGTGCGCGCCCTCATGAAGGAGATCATGGCCCTGGGCCTCAAGGACGTCTCCTACAGCAGCTTCCTGGCGGAGAACGGTAGCCGCATCCTGGCGGCCGCCATCGTGCAGAGGTTCAAGAGTTTCAACCTGGATCGGTGAGTCAGGATGGGTCTGCTGAAGCAACGCGAGCAACGCCTCCCCTCGGGCTTCGGACTCAACTTGCACCCGGCGGGCGGCCGTCCCCCAGGTACCGGCTCGTGGCCAAGGTCCGCATCGCGCAGAAGATCAACCAGGGCATGGCCATGTACGTGGCCTGCCTGTGGCACGCCGACGTGGACCGATTCTCGTATGTGCAGTTCGAGAACTCGAACGTGGCGGCACAGGCCGTTCTCTTTATGGTGTATCGGGACTGACTGACTGACTTACGGCCGGCCGGGACGCCGGCCTGCATGGTGGCGCCCTCTAGGCGTCGGCGATACCCCACGCCGGAGAGACGCGGCGCGCGCGGCGGCGGCGCTACCCCGGGCGCGCGCCTAGTTTGACCAGGAATGAATGAATGCCACTCTTAAACTATGACTCCATTTATTGAAAGGAACAATTCTTTTAAAAAGTAAATGACAGACGCAATCATAGGTATTTTTCTGTTTCCAAAAGCCAACAAACAATTATTGTTCATTCGTTGCACAATAAGTTCAAGTCTTCAATTTCTGTATGTGTGTGAATAGCAACCAGTGTAACAAGTTTAGCTTAGAGCAAAGAACAATCATAAAATCTACCTAAAAATAAACATAAAAACAATGTAGCTTTAAAATGGCTTCGTTAGTTATTACCTCTTTGCAGCACTTGCAAAGTGCTCTGAACTAAACTTTGGATAATGTACAAATACAGTCTTACAAACTGAAAGCAGACACTTTCAATAAAATAAACTCACACTAGTACTCAACTTATTTACAATATAAAGCACTCTGTAATAGTATTGAAATTCTTTCACACTCAAATTGCACAAAACCCTGTCTTTTCTGAGCGTCACGCTCACTAGTCGTATAGAGGCCCTGCCTCTTTGAAGTCCCATGATAAACATTCGCCAGCAATATTTACACTATACTTAACTAAACGGCGTCTATATACATTAAATACGTATTCCAGGTGATGCAAGTCTTGAGAAACCACCTTATTTGCTCGTGGAGACCTTTTCACCAGGGTCTTGATTGTGCGTGCACACACACTGTCACAAGCGTTCGACGCACGCACACACACACACACGCTCGCACTGAGCGTCCGACTCCGCCAGCACCACGAGGTGGCCGTCAAGTCCTAGGGGCGCCGTGACGGCGGAGGCGGTCGCCACCCTCAGCCTCCGTCCGCGCGCACTGCGTGGAGTGCGTGGACTGCGTGCCTAGAGGATGAGGGTGTTGCTGACGCTACCGGTGCTCCTTCTCCTCGCCCGAGAACGTGATATAGTACGGCGACTGCTGCGGGTAGCATGGCGTGGGCGTCTGCGGCGGCCGGCCCAGCGAGGCGTAGGAAGTCCTGCGCGGGCTGGCGGCCAGGGACGGCGCCAGGGACGGCGCCATGCCCGGCATCGAGTGGTTGTGGTGCATCTTGGAGTGCGGCGGCAGCGTGGCCGTGGCGTAGCCGTGCGCCGCGTACGGCGACAGGTACATGGGCGGCGGGCCTGCAAGCAAGTCTGTCAGTGAGCGCGGGAAAAAGAAAGGCAGGTCGTGAAGTCGCAAGGGCTTGGCGCGGCGCGGCTTGACTTACCGTACTCGCCAGTGGGCATGCCGTGCCGGTGGTGCTGCGCGTGCTGCGCGTGCTGCGCGGCCACCGCCAAGGGCCCCGCTAGCGCCCCGGCCGCCATGGGGCCGCCGCGGTACTGGTTGCTGGTCAGGCGGAGCCGCACGATGCAGATGACGATGACGAGGATGGCGATGAAGGCCACCACGCCGCCCACGATGCCGATGATGAGGGTGTCGTCGTTGCTGACCACGGCGGCGCCCTGCGGCGGCCTGGGGCTCATCATGTTGGCGCCGACCACCTTCTGGTGGGGCCGCGGCGTGGTGGGCGGCAGCGACCAGATGATGTCCGGCTCCGTGGTAGGCTGGCCGGGCCGCGCGTGGTAGCGCGTGGGGTGGTGTTTGCCCGACAGCATGGTGATGATGGGCGTGTTGGTGGTGCTGCTCGTGGTGGAGGACGGCGTGGTCGTGGTGGTGGCCTGCTGGTGGGCGCGATTCGGGTCGCAAGTGAGGTCGTCGTCGCCCACCTCGACAAGCAGCCTGCCCTCCATGGACGGTGGGCTGTGGCAGCGAAGGTCGCCCATGCCGGAGCCTGGAGGGGAAGCGATAATCCGTAAGTAAAAGTGTGGAAAATGGAGCCAGTCTCCCTCCCGCATTCGGGGCACCTCGACGCCAAGACACATCACCAAGGCCGGCCGAACATCATCAGCAACGTAATGGAATCGGCAACGGGCGACTTCTTCGGGCCCAGCCAGGGCCCAGCCTGGCGGCCTGCCGTCGTGGAACGGAACGCCGCCGTAATTATTTCATGCCTCTTTTTATCCGGGGAGGGGGGCTCACCTGGCAGCCAGCGACGCAGCGCGCGGGCGGCACAGTCGCAGTGCAGCGGGTTGGTGGACAGCCCCTGCAGCGTGTAGAGGCCGCGGCGGTCGTCCAGGGCAGCCAGCAGCTGCGGCGACAGCGTGGGCAGCTTGGCGCGGGTCACGTCCACCACGAGGCGGCACGACCGCGGCAGCGGGAAGAACAGGGCGGGCGGCAGCGCGGCCAGCGAGGTGTCCGTCAGCAGCAGGCGGACTCGGGCGGCCTGCGGAAGAACAACGTCGCCGTCATGGAGGACTCTGGCGCGGTTTGGAAGGATTCTTCTCAGCGACGGCCACGCCAAGGGCCACGCCAAGGGCCACGCCAACCCACCTTGAGCCCGGCCAGCGCGCTGGACGACAAGCTGCGCACGCGCGCGCCGTGCAGCCCAAGCTCCTGCAGGCGCGGCTGCAGCGCGGGCGCGAGGGTGTCGCCGCCCACGGTGGGGTCCTTGAGCTCGATCCGCAGCGTGGTCAAGAAGGGCAGCGACCGCAGCAGCCCCGCCGCGTCCAGGTAGCCGAGGCGGGGGAAGCCGGCGGCGCGCAGCGAGGACAGCGACGACAGCCCCGCCATGGCGGACCGCTCGAGGCGCGACAGCACCGGCAGCGCGTCCAGGTTGATGCTCCGCAGCCCGCCCAGGCCGTCCAGGTCGCCCTGCACGATGGAGGGGATGGGGTTGTGCGACACGTCCAGGGCCTGCAGGTGCCGCAGCTGCGTCCAGACGCGAGGGAAGGTAGCCAGCCGGTTGTGGGAGAGGTCCAGCATCTCCAAGAGCGTGGGTCGGGCCACCACCTGGAAGCCGCAAAAGCCGTCAGTGTCACGTTGGCCGCGTGTCTGGCCCATCACCTCGTTGAAAGGGATGGTTACCTCCTTCCCGAAGTGGCTGATGTTGTTGTGGGACAGGTTGAGGGAGCGCAGGAAGGGCGTCTCCAGCTGCGTGAGGCTCTGGATGCCCGTCCCCGCCATGTTGAGTTCGCGCACCTGAATGAAACACGCGACACATTTAAAAGCTGCGGCAAGCAAACGAGCGACGGCGTGGTGTCTGAAGCCAAGTCGTACCGTTTTGGGCTCGGCCAGCACGTTGGCGATGGCGCTCTGGCTCAGCGGGTTGAAGCTCAGGTCCAGGCGCTTGATGTTGACCATGATGGTGTCGTCGGCGGGGATGTCCACCAGGCGGTTGCGGCTCAGGTCCACGGAAGACAGGAAGAAGTACTGGCGCTGCAGCGTGGGCAGCGGCGCCACCTCGAACTGGTTGGCGGCCAGGTTGATGTTGTCCAGGATGTGCACGCGGCCGCGCTCGAACAGTGCGTCGGGCAGCTCGGCCAGCAGGTTGCCCTCCAGGGTCCAGCAGCTCGATGCGGCACAGTCCCTCGAAGGTGCGCTCGGACAGCCGCTCCAGTCGGTTGCGCGCCAGCCGCACCACCTGCAGCTGCGTCGAGTTGTGGAACGCCGTCTCGCTCAGCGCCTCCAACTGGTTGTCGGACAGGTCCAGCTCGCGCAGCCGCGGCAGCCGCGCGAAGTCCATGTCGTCCACCGCCTTGAGCAGGTTGCCGGCCAGGTCCACCTCCTCCAGGTACCTGCGGCAAGGCTGGGCGTCAGGACAACGGCTGGGCGTGTTTGTCAAGGGAGCTTTGACGCAAAGTGGCGTGACAATGCCCGTCGAGGGCGCCCTGCCCCTGCCTCTACTCGGCGTGATTCGGCCTTTCGGCACGCAGCGCAGCGCTGGCGGTTGCTATGCTAATCTGGAAAATCGAGTCAATTAAATTGCGGGGCTCGCCGCAAAAAAAGGGGACTAGGGACGCAAAGTGCGACCGCACTGGAAGTGCTGGGCCAAGCCTGACAAAGCACGATGCCAGGGTCCACGATTTCGAGGCCCCTACCGACGCCAAGCCATTTCTCATCGGCATTGAGCGCTGTGATTGATAAGCACCCGGTGACAACAATGGCGAGCTTCGGACACAGCGAACCATTTTTAACCTTTAGCCAACCGCTTGACAGGGATGCTGGAATGTCTAAACGCTCATCAGGTTGTTCGCGCCGGCTCACCTGAGGCCGGTGAGCAGTTCGCCGGGGAAGAAGGTGAGCTTGTTCTGGGCGAGGAGCAGGCGGCGGAGGCGGGGGTGCGCGCGGAACGAGTTGGGGAACAGGTAGCCCAGCTGGTTCTGGGAGAGGTCCAGCTCGCGGAGGGCGGAGCTGCCGGCGCTGCCGTCGCTCGCGGACTCGAGCACCTCGCCGCGGAAGGCCTGGAGTTTGTTTCTGGACAGGTTGAGGCGCCGCAGCGACGGCAGGCCCGTGAAGGCGCCCGCGCGGATGTTGGCGAGCTGGTTCCCGGAAAGGTCCACCTGAAAACGAAAACAAGGAACGTCGTTTGAGATTCCAGGAGATAAAAACGGCCGTAAAGGCGAGTGGCCGCGGCGCTGGCGCGCAGGCCCTTACCGCCGTCAGGTTGACGAGGCTGGCGAACGCCCCCTCGGGCAGCTCCTGCAGCGCGTTGCCGGCCAGCGCCACGCTCTCCAGGTCGGCGGCGCGGTGCAGCAGGTCCGCGCTCAGCGCGCGCATCCCCACGCGGCTCATGTCCAGCACGCGGAGGCGCGCCAGGCCGGTCAGGATGCCGCCCGTGGGCGAGGGCGCGAGCAGCGGGTTGCCGGACAAGTTGAGGACCTCGAGGGCGGGCAGCCCGGACAGCGGCGCGCGGCCCAGGCCCTGCAGCTGGTTGTCGGAGAGGTCCAGCACCTTGAGGCGGCGCAGCGCGAGCGGCCCGCCCGCCAGGCTGGCGATGCGGTTGCCGGCCAGGTTCAGCTCCTCCAGGATGTCCTCCAGCCCCACGAGCGCGGACGCGTCCAGCGCCAGCAGCAGGTTGGCGGACAGGTCGAGGCGGCGCAGGCGCGTGAAGTCGCGGAACGCGGCGGGGGACAGCTCGCGAATCACGTTCCGGGCCAGCCCCAGGTCGCTGGCGCGCTCGGACACGGCGCGCAGCAGGTCGGCGCTCACCACGGCCAGGCGGTTGTAGTCCAGCGACAGCGTGCGCAGCCGCGGCAGGCGGCCCAGCGCGGACGCGGGCACGGCCAGGATGTTGTTGTCGCGGAGCCGCAGCGTCTCCAGCCCCTCCAGGCCCTCGAAGGCGTCGTCCTCCACGGTGCGCAGCGCGTTGACGGACAGGTCCAGGTGGCGCAGCGCGCGCAGCCCGCGGAACGTGCCGGGCGCGATGTTGCCGATGTTGTTGCCGCTCAGGTCCAGGGTCTCCAGCTGCGTCTGCACGCGCAGGGCCTCGTTGTCCAGGCGCTGGATCAGGTTGGCGGACATGTTGAGGTGCCGCAGCTTGGTGAGCTCCTTGAAGGCGACGGACGGCACCTCGCGGAGGAAGTTCTGCGACAGGTCCAGCACCTCCACGGCCACGGCGCCTGCAATGGGAGGACCACCGCGTTAACGATCAATAAAAAGTCGCACAACCCGCATCAGGGAGGAAATTATAGTCGCTTTGCCGCACCTTCGAAGACATCGCTGTTGAGCTTGGTGACCCTGTTGTGGCTCAGGTTGAGCTCTTGCAGGCGACTCAGCCCCTTGAGCGCGCCGCCCTCCAGGGTGTTGATGGTGTTGAAGCTGAGGTCCAGGCGCGCCAGCTGCTGCAGCCCCTCCAGAGCGCCGCCGCGCACCAGTGCTGCCAAAATACGGGGTATGAACATGACATGACCATCATCGGAAAACCATAACAACGCTCCGCTTGGCGTCGAAGGGCACTGCCGGCACTGCCGCTGCGTTTAGCTGGTTAGGCGCGGCGATGTTAGGCCCAGCCGGCCGCCCGGCCCGGCCCACTTCCCGGCCCAGCTACTCCTGCTGTTATTCCCAGGAAACTGCATGGTTTTATGCCGCCGCGCTTCCAGGTTGTTTCAATTCGGTACACGCCACGGTACGTCCGGGGAAAGTCCTCGCTCTTCACCGCGCCGCCATGGCGCGCGAGCCTCCCGCAGCATCTCAAAGCACCGCTGCAGGGTGGCTTCCACAGCAAGGCGAGCATTTACATGGAAACGGTCCGGATCGCCTGGACTCCCTGGACTACTTGATGAACTTGCAGTCCTCGGTGGGAGGACCTTACCCTCTCCCAGCACACGGACGAGAAAACTGCGGCCTGGCCAGAAACAGCTTGTCGAGTCGACGTGGATCGGCCTAAATGTTTGAGAAAGGTGATGGAATCTCTGCCGACTTTCAGCGACCACCCTCCCTCATCGTCCTGGCACTCTTAAGATCCTTCTCGCCACTAGGGAGTACCAGTGTCGCAAAGTTGGTCGAAGAGTGATTGATCTGAGAACGCAACGACCATTCTCGGGTAGCCTGGGTTGAGTACTTACCGATGCGGTTGCGCGCGAGGGCGAGCGCCCTGAGGGCCCTGGGCCCGTGCAGCGACTGCGACGGCACCTCCGCCAGGCTGTTGCGGTTCAGACGCAGCTCCTGCAACGCCGTGGCAAAGTCAGCGATTGCGTTTGTTAACGGCAAAATGAAGTAAAGAAAAGGTAAAAAAGCGCGCGCCAACGTCGCCAGGCAAGCCGTGATCGCTCGCGAGCGACTGGGGCCGTCAGACCGTCACACTCGGCTTGCCAGCGCGCAGCGCTTCGGGCTTTTGCGGGCGAAAATCCACATTTCCTGACGGTCCTATTTTCGCCGACAGCGACATTCGTTATGCATGAGGCAACAAAACCGGGAATCCTGAAGCCACCTCGGGCGTAACGATTGTAACCGTTTACAAAGGACGAACCGGCAGTGCTACCGACCTGCAGGTTGTCGCAGCCCTTGAGGATGCCCTCCTCCAGGCCCTTGATCTGGTTGCCGGACAGGTCCAGCATCCGCAGCTCGCGCAGCCCGTGGAACTCGGACGCGCTGAAGATGGGGTTGAGGTTGTCGCCGAGGAGGTTGTCGGCCAGGATGAGCTCCTGCAGGTGCGCGGCGAGGTGCCCCGCCAGCTGGCGGTCCGACAGGCGGCGCAGGCTGTTGCCGGCCAGGTCCAGCCTCCGCAGCGGCAGCTCCGCCGTGGTCAGCGCCTGCGGGGTCACGTGGCCGGTCAGTGGTGCGTCACGGCGGGCAGGGCCACGAACGGCAACAAACTACTCACCTGCGTCGGCAGCGCCTGGTGGCCCGCCCACCGCTGGCTGAAGGCGACGATGGGGGCGCGCGCCGGCAGGGCGGGCATCTCGCCGGGGAAGACGACGCGGTCGCAGTCCATGGCCACCTCCACGGTCACGTGCTCCTCGCCGGCGCGCCGCGAGTGGATGAAGGAGCAGCGGCACGGCACGCGCAGCTCGGGGTGCACGTCCTCGCACAGCGGGGTGTCGTCCACGGAGCCGGCGGCCGGCCACGCCGAGGCCCACGCCGAGGGCCACGTCGACGTGGAGGCCTGCTGGTCCTGCTCCAGCTCCAGGCGGCGCGGCAGGAAGGAGGCGCGGCCCGGCGCCAGCAGCAGTGCCGCCAGGGCCAGCACGGCCAGCGACATCCTGGAGGCAAGGCGACGCGTTCAGTCTGGTCCAGCCCGCGCCACACCGGTGCAACGTGACACCTTCTGGAGTGACTGTGCCCCAGCGGCTCCAGCAGCGAGCGGGTTAGCGGGGCACTGGAGCCCAGCGCTGCCGGAGTGTCGCGGCGCGGCGGCACGGCGCGCCTGCCCGGGGCCGCGGGGGTTATCGCTCTGCCTGGCCTGGCGGCCTGGCCGTGTGTTTGCACGTGCAGCCTGGCCGTGGCCGTGAGCGAGGCGACGCATACTGGGGCCGGTAATGCATGTCGGTGTCGCATTCCGCCGGTTTATCCCGGCACCGATTCCCGCAGTCGCTCTGTCTCGCTCGCACCCCTGCGGGCCGTGCCGTGCGGTGAGAGTGCGAGAGAGACAGAGCGACCACACCGGCGGTCGGGGTCGTGACCGGCCGGGCCTAGCCGGGCCTAGCCGGGCCCCGTGGGAGCGTCTGGGAGTTGGAGACGGAGAGCCTCGCCTGCAATCCGCGGGGTAGGCAGCGCGCCTCGGCGGCACTGCACTGCAGTCACCACACTGTACTCACCTACTGGCGGCGTCCGGGAGCGGGGACGACTACCGACTGGGCCTGCAACACGGCAACACGAACGGCATTAATAAAGCTGTGCATTTGCAGAAGTGTGCCAGCGGTGCGCGTCTGCGCGTCGGCCGACCGCACGCATGGCGTCTAAGTAAGTACCCGTCAGACAGAGACAAAGCTTGCGGTAGGCCTAGTGTAGGCCGGGCCGGGTAGCGGGCCCACTACCGTCGCTACCCTGCAAGAAAGAAGTGAGTCGGCCAGTCGTGTTCGGATCAAACTTCGAACAATGCCGGAAGTGCCCAGTCGTGCGGTGTGCCCTGCCTGCCCTCGCACCCGTTGGCGTCCCGCAGCGCGGTGAGCGCGGTGCGAGAGAGACGAGGCGAGGCAGCCTCGTTCGTTTCGGCGTGACGCGCGGGTCAGTCCCGGCGTGTTATTGTCTGCTTGTCTGCCCCCAACGGGCCGCGGGCGGCGCGCGGGCCGCAGCGCCAAAGCCAAAGGCAGGCGGCGAGTCGAGGGCTCCGCGCCGCGCCCCGCGGTCTGACTGGACTGCCCCAAGGGCTGCCGGGCTGCCCAGTGCCCGGCCTACCGCAGACCGGTGTCGGGGTGGGGCGGTGGCGGCTGGCAACTGGGCGGCTGCCAAAAAGGCGCGCCGGAAAAAAAAATGAAATGGCAGGAATTAAGGCGGCAGTGCTAACTTGGGCTCAGTCAGATCGGAACCGGAAAAAAATAGAAAGACGGCACAACAGGCGCTACGAAAAAGGCAGTCGGCGGCGCCAGGACCACCGCATGGCGCCGGGTCCGCGAGAGTGGGCCGACAGATCCCCAGCGAGCAGAGCGATTCTGCACAGTGCACCGCGCTACTGTCTCTCTCGCACTCTTAGGGCGATCCGTGTAGGTGCGAGGGAGACAGAGCGACGAAGCGCTGTGCGGCGAGTCGGTCTGCAGGACGGCGGCGTGATCGGCATTCCAGCAATGGGATTGCCTGTCCACGCCGCGCCACGCCCCGCCGGTGGCACTCCAAGCCCGCGGCCAGACTGCAGGCAGCAGGGCGGCATCACGACGGAAACGAAATGCAGGTCGTGTTATTGTGATTATTGTCATTTTTTTACGAAAGAACTTTCTTCTGGCGGCGCGGGGCGGCGGCAGGGGCGGGGCGGGGCCTTTCTGCCGCGGCGCGGGGTTCCGTTTCGTGCTGTCAGCGACGCCCTGTCTTCAGCGACTGCAGTTAGTGGCCGCGAGGGGCAGGGCAGTCGCTTCTTGAAGAAGAATTGAAGAATTTGGCGTTCGAACCCACGTATTTTTGTAAAATTGGTTGGTGGAATCTTTTAAGCGCTTTCCGCGCTCGAGAGCCGCCAAGGCGTCGAAACCCGACCAGGGCGACGGGCGTTCGACACCCGCCGATCTCCATTCTTTTATGAGAAGCCGTTCCACGAGCTGTCAAACACTTCACCGGGAGTGCCAAGTCAAACAGGCGGCCCTCCACTGGGAAGGGCTGCACTGCACGAGCCCTTATTTTTCCAAGCTTAGCGGATAGTTTACTATCTCGTTAAAAAGTCCCGTCCAGAGTCCGGCGCGCCCAGGCGCGGCCAGGCGGCCCGCGCCAGGTCTAATCTTACAATATAACAGCGGGAACACCTCCGAGGTACCTGGTACCTGTTCTGAGGCGAGCAAGTGCCCGCTGTGCCGCCAGTGCCGTGGCCGCTGGGCCCTCGGCTGGGTCGCAATGACGGCAATGACGCCGACGTCGGCCCTCTTCTCGCGCTGCACCATTCACCATTCGGCCCATGCGGCAACGGGACTCTGGACTTTCCCTGTCAAACATTCGTCCGGCCGTGGGCTAGCCGCGCCAACGTCCGCGCTGGCCGCCAACATGGCCGCGCTCCGATAGCGACTACGCACTCTGTTTCATCGCGCCGTCCCTGCGGCACCCCTGCCGCACGCCCCTCGAGTGCGAGAGAGACAGAGCGACGAAACCGACGACGCCCGCGGCTGTCGATAGGGGCGTCGCTCTTTTGTTTCGCGGAGGACGGCACGAGTCGGAACGAGTCTCTGTCTCTCTCGCACCCACGCGGGGCGCGTCACAGAGCGAGAGAGATGGGCGTCCCGCGGAATCAGTCGGCAGGAAGCCGCGAGTGGCCGGGCCGGTCCGGAAGCGCTTGGCTCGGCTTCGCTTTCCCACACCGTCCTGGTCCAGCACAGGTGAGTGTGGGTGGCGGCCCTGGCGGCCTCGGCGAAGGAGAAAGGTTTTGTTTTGTGGGTCGTTTGTGTATATGGAGTACCGGGCGACGCGGAAGGGCGGGGCGAGGGGGGGGGGGGCGTTCTGGACCTGCTCCGGCGGTGATGGAGAGCCCTGCCCGAGCCAGAGGCAGCGCAAGCAGCGCGGCGCAGGCCGGGGGGCGAGGGCCGGCAAGGCCAGGGCCGAGCCTTGCCAGGGCTGCACGGCCACTGCCTCGGCCACGGCCAGCCGGCGACTCCACGCTCCACGCGGTCAATCAGACCATATTCCCAGTGATGTCGGCAGCGCCGCGGTGGCTGGCTTTCCCTTCCTTTTACTCCTGTACGGCCTGAACGCTATGGGTGCCCGCACTCACACTCGCTCACTCACTCGGGGGCAGGTCGACGCCCTGACCTGCCGCGCTGCCGCTCCTCTCGGCCAGAATGCACCATTGCGTGCACCACCTCTTTTCGATTCCAAAGTGGACCGACACACACGCACGCACACATACACGCGATGAATAGGGATTGATGGTATCGGGGGCGCACATGTTGACGACTGCCAGTGGAGTAACAACCGCAGGGCGTGGGAGTGAGTGGGAGAGCCGTCATGTCGCCAGGTGAGTTATTCACGGCGAGAGATAACGCCACCCTTCACCGCGCTTCGCCGCTCCGTCTCGCTCGCTCCTCGCTCGCATCGCCCCGGACGCCGTGAGTGCGAGTGAGACGGCGCGACGACACCGCGCCGCCGATTGATACGACAAGGTAATGACCAGCCTCTGCTAGTACACGACTAGTACATTATTGTTATTGCACGCACTGGGCAGCCGAGGCGGCCAGTCCAAGGCGGCAAGGCTCCGCGCCAGCCTCCCACGCATTAAAGCCTCCTCGACCGAAAGGTAAAGGAGGGGCGGCCTAAGTACACGTCGTGATTAGCCGCGCGATGACGGCCTTGGCGATGAGCTTGGCGATGAGCTTGGCGGCGCCGACGAGGGAATCGGATTTTAAGGGCGGTGAGAACGGAGCACCTGGGTGCCGGTGGAGGCGGGGCGGGGCGTTTGAATGAATGGGCGCGGCGGCAAAGCAGCCGTGCGTGTCACATCCGAGACGCCGCGCCGCCCGCTCCACGTCGTCGCCGTCGTCAGCGACGGAAAGCTGAGTCCACGCGGGGCCTGTTCAGCCCTGGCGGGGGCCCTCTGTGCGTCGTCGTCGCCGTCCTCGTGGCGGTGGCGCTCGGCCCGTTCCGCGCTGCCGGCGCAGTGCGCGCAGTCCCGGCCGCACGCCGCGCCCTATACGGCTTGACGCGCCACTTCCATGCCTTCCAGCCGCCCTTCGCTGTCGCTGCAGCACCGCATGCACGCCGGCCAGCCAGTCCGTCCCATTGGACCATTTGGCAGCCCTTGCTGCCTCGCTGGTGGCCGCTGGCACGCACCGGCATGGCTTGGCCTGGCTCGGCCGCGCTGCTGTGTGGCCGTTCCATCTGGACCGGTATGGCGCGGCTGGCTGGGTGCAGCTAGCTGCAGCTGCTCGGACACAAACAGGCCCCAGACGCACATGCACAGGCCTGCGCTCTGCACACGCGCGACAAGTCGAGTACACTACACTGGGGGGAGAAAGTGCAGCCCTGTCGCGCGCGTGTCGCTGCCACACGTGACACTGTGTGTGTGTGAGTGCGTGTGATACGGTTTGATTCGATTCGCGGTGAGCTGGACAAGGCTCACGCACGCGCCCCGCGTCGTGCTCGCCTCCATTCATCGACGGCGTGCCGCGGCGTGCCGCCAGGACGTCACGACGGCGACGCGACGGCGCGGGGCTGCAAGCCGCAGCGCCACGCGCCCCGCTCCGAAGCGCCCGTCGCTCTGCCTCTCTCGCACCTATGCCGGAGACATCCCGTAAGTGCGAGAGAGAGAGAGAGAGAGAGAGAGAGAGAGAGAGAGAGAGAGAGAGAGAGAGGCATGCATCGCTAACGGGGCGGCTATTACTTATTCTCGCGCCGCGTGTCGTTGTCACCTCGCCTTCCCTCTCGCGTTTGGCGGGAGAGGCTTTGAAACGCCGCGTTGCGTGAGGCGAGCGCGGCCGACGCCCCCCTCGTCGCCAAGGCCGTCACCATCCAGTCCGCGCCCTGATCTGCGGCGCGGCACGGCACGGCACGTGAGCGCGCATGCGTTGACGGTGACGACGCCCCTCCGCGGCGCGCCACGCCTCCCACGCAACACAGTGTAGGGGATTACAAGGT